CGTTACCGTTCTCATGTTTTCAGCAATCAGATCCGTGCTGTAGTCGGAGTGTCATATTTACAGATGAACATCAAGTACCGCTGTGCTCCATTACTTCTATATATTACTCTCCGTTACCCATCGGTTGGTGTTCCATATTTCATTTCGTTCTAATCTTACTGTTACTATCTCTTTACTATGCAGCCGCTTTAATTAGTTACATAACATTTTGCTTTAAAAAAGCTATGAAATCCAACACTTCTTGTGTCAGATGAGTTCGGTTTTGTCCCATGCTGGTGACATTCATCGCCCGCGAAGTGTAAATGCACCCAGTTTTTATTTTAAACGTTATGTGGAATAGATCAAAATTACAGTTGGTCGTTCGAGTGCTTCTCCAAAGAAGTATCGATTGATGACAGCTCCTGCCTCACAGCTTGATATTATTTCTTCCATCAAAATATATACCAAAGTAAGCTCCTTTACTAATTCAGGAATTCAGGGTTGGTTTTAAGAAGAAATCATGATTCCCTTTCTTGGGACTTGCTGTTTTTTTTTTCGAAGCTTGTTATTCTGATAAGTAAAGCAAATATCGTTTCAGGACTTTCGGGTATGGACTTTCGATCTACAACGAAGCCAATTTGCCGTAAATCTTGCAAATAATATTTATCATTTCTCACGTCCCTCTTCGCTTTCCAATTTGTTAGAACTTTCTTGCGAAGGATTTCGAGAAACACCTCAGCCAGGTACACTTCAAATAGTTAAGTAAAAATTGTTTCATTTAAAACATACTCTTCCGCGTATGTTCTCAGTGTTTTAAATGCTTTGAATTTCTTCCTCCAAGACGTGGATGACGATTATTACATGATAGCCGAAGCGGAAGTGATCTATCATAAGATTCTTTCGGAAGGCCGGCATACAACTGTATTTTTTTTTAGTCGTGGCCTTGTAGTGAGGGTTGTAATAATTCTATTGAAATGCAATGCTTATGCAGAAGAGTGAGAATTAGCAAGTTGACCTTTTTTTACATGATTCTTTATCAGACAAAAAAGGGTAATCCATTTCTCATATTTTTTAATAAATCTTATTAGAATTGCTGCAAATTAACTATATTATTATTGCTAAATGATTAATTTCTAAAGGAGGAAATTTTGCAGCACAGAATGCACTCTTATACAACAATGGGAGTGATTGGCAAAAGGAGTTGCTCCGATGTGGGGACAGCGAAACACGATGGCGTATATGTTTTTTGAAATCAGAAATATCCCAACAGAAGGCAGTTGTGCCCAGGTTGACATGTTTCTATTTTCTCCAAGACTCTGACTCTGGACTTTTCCACAGCATCTTCCAAATTTTTTTTCTATAAGTCCTTGCACTACATTTTTTCTTTTAAAATTTCATCTAACATTTGTTCTTGCAGTTATCCATTTTGTGTTGTTGTCCCGAGTGATCTCTTTGATGTTACAGTATATGAAAGTCTTATACCCAATTGGCACAACGGTAGATTTCCGGTAAGTTGGTTTTCAAAATAAAACGATAAAATTAAAACAGATATTTTTGGAATTTTCTTTGCCTGCAACATCTTATTCAGATCTGGTGCTGGTCAGCTTCAAATGGTAGTGCATTACTTCGTTCGTCTGCCTGTAACAAGGATCTTAATGCTCAAGAATTGTGGAAAAAGTATGTTTTATGTGTCCGGCAAGATCACTGTAGGAGTTGTTCTGTCCGGCAAGATTACTGTAGGAGTTGTTCTACTGATACTTCAGCAATGTGATAATTCAAATGAGATTGCAGAGTATTGTGGCCTATCTGCCAAGCTCATCCTCATCGTCGACCACCTCAAGTAATTGATTGTGACATATCCGATGTGCACATATCATCTTCATTCGAGAAACTTCGCGAACTTTGCTCTTTAGGTATTTCATTTTATAGATATAAAATGAATCATAGAAATGGAGTTTAAAGAGTTTCTATAGGTACGAGCATTAGAATAGAATTATATAAAAAGGCTTTCTTTAGCTTTAAAGAATCGTTTCTGTTGAATGTGATAAAAAAAAAGGACATTGCGAATGAATTCCATATAAGTTTTGTTTTATATGTACCTTCAGACTCAATGGAACGTTTCACTGAAAAAGAAAAGGAGTGGTACACGTTAGTTGATGATACAGGCTGGTGTGCTTTAGTATTTCGATGCCTTCAACTATCAAGCAAAGTTATTCACAGACTTATAGATAATCAACGATCTGTTGTTGTGACAGGTTGGTCTCTTCAGTCATAATATTCTACTTATTGTTCTTTATTAACTGATAGTGAACATTTATGAGTACGAAATAGCACAGGATTTCTGCAAACCAGTCTATAGACATACTCTTATCATCGTTTGATTAAATTCCAATCAGTGATTGTTTCCTGAAATTTTTTTGATAAGATTTTAAAGAAATATGAATACATTTTGGATGATGACGGAAAAGCGTAATTTCAGACCAAGATGGATTCAATGCATCAGCAATAGTGTCGTCATTGGTTCAGGTGTGTACGGATAGTTTCTACAGAACGATAACTGGTTTCAGTGCTCTCATAGAGAAAGAATGGATCGCACTTGGACATCCCTTTGGGCTAAATATGTTTGGCTGTACTCTTCTATCCAATATTCCGGTTCGAATCCTTCTTTATAGAGCTGTTATTATTCAGATGTTTTTCAGTGCACTTTCTGAGTCAGGTGTTTATGTTAAGTTTGTACACTTACAGAAACGGTTCTCATTAAGTTACATTAAATAGTTCATAATTATGGCAGCATATTGCAGCATTCGCGACCGAAAGCTTGTACAGCAACTTTCCTCTTATTTCTGGATTGCGTGGCACAACTTATACGTTTTCATCCACTTTCATTTGAATATTCGCATTATTTATTGATCGCACTCTGGGATTTGTCCATAACTGGTCTCGCATCGTAAGCTACTTTCTATGCTTATGTAGTAGTCGGCAAACAAACTGGAACTGACGTTGTTGAGTGCAATATGCGGTTTTTAAAAAACGATTAATAGTAATCAGTACGAGAATGTATATAATTTTATAAGACTACCAATATATATCAAATTTGCCAATTTTTTGAATATACAAATTTTTAGGTCATACATTTAGAATTTTTCTGTTTTTGAAATTGATATTATAATGTTTGAAAACTCTGCTTAAGCTTACTCTGATTAGTTATCATGTTTAAGTTTACTTGTGAACAGCTTTCCATTCATCAACGCGTTTTTCTATCTTGCAGCGGTTTGACTTGCAATTCAGTGAATGATAGATTAGCGCTATGCAAAATAGCTCCAACTTTTCCCTTGTCACAATATTATACATCAAAATACTGTCTAATGTTCACCAATGTTCTTTATTCGGCTAACCTTTTGCTTGGTTCTGGTACGTTCCTTTTCAAAAAAATGACACAATCTGTTCAGTATATCTTCTAATTTGGTGCATGCCATATTTGAGTGGTTTTGTTTAGGCACTGAGAAGTGCAATTATTATCTTTGTTGCACCGTGATTAGTTCTTGAAAATGCGTTAAATTACAGAATCAGTGCCGGCCAATGTAATACGACCTTCTTCTTCTCCTATTGATGTTCATTTTTGGGACGAATGCTATCTTCGATGGGTGCGGCCAGCAAATATCGCTGTAATTTTCTAATGTTATTTAAATGCGTTACTGTAGCAAAGTTTTTCACCTGTCACGTTTTTATTATTCATTTTCAGAATGCACCAATCTTTTCGATCATTTCGTCCTTTCAGGATGGTGGTATTATTACCAAAGATTTAGCATTAAGTTCGATACTCTCATCAGCCGCATCTGTGGCTTATCCAGAATGTAATTCAGTTGTATGGCGCCAGCGTTTCTATCCTGCATTGGATACATCGACAGTATGTTATCTGTTATTGCCGCTAATATGTAACAGTTTACTTAATAGTTAAAGCGAGGATATTATCCTACTTTTGAAGACAACCGTGGTATATTTTTAACTTTTGAAAGGACTGTAATCAATAACTGTATTGCTTCCATTCTATTCCAATAATGGAATTTGATTTTGAGTCTTATGTAAAGTTTTCTACTTTGAATACTTTAGGACGTATCTTGCACACAACATTTTCCATATGCTAATATCTTACAAGCGGTGCTTAGAATATCATTGCTTGGTATTCCATACACTCATCTTTCAGATCAGTTCGTCTTATCCCTATTCAGATGCATTACCGAAAAATATTCCTACTTTAAATGAAGTGAGTATTGCATCCGACACTGCATCTGCAAAATCACTACGACTGCAATTAGAAAGGACCAGTATTAGTCTCAATGCAGGTTCAGTGGTAAGTTTGTATGGTTAAATAAGTCGCTAAGTTGGAAGTAAAGAATGAAGGGCCTATATGCCCGAGACAAGAGTCCTTTTCTTGTTTTGGACTTTAAAATTTCATCAGCCACTACTTCAGCTAGTAATGCATTATAGATGCCTGCATAATAAATCGCTGGTGCTGTAGGTATCTGTTTATTAGAATGATAGTCTCTTGGGTATTCTGTTATTTTTTAACGCCGGATTAACAGTGAATAGTAGATGGCTGGGTATAGTACGTCTTGAAGTATCACATCTTTAATTAGAAAAAGAAAAGAATTTTGAAAATTTTTTTGCTTATAAAGTTTTTTGAAATTTTTTACAACGGTTTTCTGTGTATATTTTACTTTTTTAAAAATTATATTGATTTTTAGAAGGTTGGAAAAGAAAGACGATTTTCGACAGCTTCACTAATGACACGTGTGGATCGTTTAGTGGAAATGGGTATGCTCCGCTCTTCGTCACCTCGTCCCAGACATCATTCCCCACCAGGAACTCTCGTATGACACACGCGCGCATTATTTATACTTTCATTATTATGTTATTGAACAAATCAGATATGTAGGACTTTTACTTTATTTCTGGAAGACTTTTGCTAGTGTCTAGAATTAATGGTATTCACTGTGGCATTTGCTATGAGATATGGCAGTGAAAACGCAGATGTCTTTTGCTTCGTAGTTTCTTTGTTTTGTCTTTTTGGATATTATGAAAAATGTGATTACGTTGTATTATATGATTGAATATTCTGAGTATAATATATAGTGGATTGAATTTAAAACGCTATTTGACATTGGATTACAGCACAAGTCTGGAAGATTCTAGAATTTAATTGTTTTATTTATTTGAAAGCTGAAATGCGAATGGAATTTTAATTACGATCTCATACTCTTTGGGACAAAACAAATACAGTTGCTGGCTGCTACACAAGAAATGTAAAGAAACTTCACGAAATTGATTTCCATTCATTGTTAGCTATTATTTGCTCAATTTAACTAATAAAATATAGGGCGGTATATATATATTTCCTGAATTCATTGCTTCAATTTTTGGACTCTTTCATAATCGTTATCCACGTCTCGGAGAGAGAAATTCAAAGCATTAAAAATTTTTCTATTCTGGCAAATTTCATATACTCCGAGAAGTAGTTTGTTCGTTGACAAAGATGACTTCTTCGATGAGAGCTCTTAATTCTACACTTCTTGGTGATTTGTTCTCCGTCTGTGCACGTTCTCTTAAACTAGCTAAATATTCATTTTTCCACATTTCCCAAAAACTATCAAGAACTTTGTTTGTATTTGACCAATATTTGATAAGTTCTTCTTGGGAATTTAATTGGTAAGAAACGTACTGATGTTGGTCGTATCCTCACTGATATTGCTAGGGAAGCGTTGGGAGATATGAAATCGATTGGTCATTGAGATTATGAAGTCATCGAAGGTTAGTGGACAGATATTAAGTATACCTTCTCTTTCCACTATCAAAACCCTCTCCGTTATTAGCTTTCTGCCGATTGCTCTTCTTAATGTTCTCTTAGACCGATTACCCGTTCATAAATTTTTCCGCTTCAGGGTGCCTTTGAATTATATTTCTCCATTTCATCCCTGTTTTCAGCTAGTTTTGTTTCTTGCTTCATGACGGATTTCAAAGAAAAACAAGTTTGATTCCAAACATTACAAAGTTGATTTTTAGAGAAAATAGTAAAAAAAAATTGTTGATGAATTGTTATTGCTGAAAAATAAATAATTGAATGGCCGGTCATTCTTATCTCCATTTACATCGTTTCCTTTCTACTCAATCCATTGTTTCACTGTTAGATTCGTGAAATGCGGAAAATAGAAAAATGTGAATCGTTTAAACGCATCTGCAATGTCAGAGGTCATGCGACAAAAGATTTCATTGCAAAGTGTAAAAATGTCTTATGCCATTAATAGTTCCATTAATTCTTTTTTAGATGTTTAAGAAAGTGCTTTTAAATACTGTATTTATCAGTAAAAGTTTTTGTTTGCTAAACCATGAGAAAGCAGGGCAAAACTTTTGGATTTAATTTTATTTAATATTACTATTAAACTGTAAATATCATTAAATATTCTCCATTTATCCATAAATGTTTCATAATTTCCAGCAAAACTATCAGAACTTATTATGGTAATAATTACTCATCAATCATGATTACTTATTAATAAAAACTTAACATATTAAGTATGATACTGTTTGCTTTACATTTTTATCAGCTCTTTTCTATATGCTTTATTCATCCTCTTTTTTTTGAAATATTCTATATTTTTTTATTTTTTTTTGAAGCAATCTTTAATCTAAACTGAATCTAATCAAATACGAAATTTTCAATAAATATAAAAATTTTAGTTTAAAAATGGGATTTTCCTTATTAATTATTATTTGATATATTTTTCAAACTTATTTATTTTAACATCAACAAATTCAACTCATTAATGTTTTACTGTTTGTTTAAATTTTTCGTTCTCAATCGTAAAATAACTTTATTTTTATATCAAAATTTCTAAAACTTTTATTTTTGAAAAAAAGCACATGCATTTTTTATGATTACTCATAATTTCAAATGATTACTTATAACTTAATTGTTTGAAATAGAAAAAAAAAACAAGAAATAAAGCAATTGTTAGCGTTAGACTTCCTTTTTAAAACAATTTATTATTGAGGCTGAAGCCATTAATCGTTTTCGCATGAAATAATACGAGTAAATTTTCTCATTGAAGTAAATTGGAGTATAATTTCTTAAGTTACACTCTTGCCAGCGGAATATTTTACCAATCTCTCTAAATATTCAAACTATGCATAATTACTTCATAGATCAAGTGATGTGTAACGGTTAGTGTAAATGTGAATGAAAATGGAAATAGTTATATGCTATTTTGATCATATATGTAATCTTTCATTTCTACTTTTTCTTTTTATCTTCCTTCTAACCGTTTCTTTCTCGAATCCTTTTATCATTTCTTAGACCCTTCTATTATCTATCAGATGCACATATCTTTACATTAACGTTATTAACGTCATGATAACAAAAAAGGAAATTATAATTAAGCATTTTAAAGCATGTTTATAATTCCATTGATACAATAAGCATTTTTTTTTTTTTTGCTTGTCGTATCGATTCGTTTCAATTCTAAATGTTGGAACAGTTGTCCAAATGTGACGCTTCTTATGCATGGATGCTATCATTTCTACTCAATAACAGCTTATTTTCCACTCTTTCTGCTAGTTTTGCTTAAATCATTTTGCGAAAAGTTAATATAAAATATTCATACTTCAAATACTATTCTTTTTTTTTCAAATATGAGATAATGGCATATGTTTTTAATTAAATATAAGAGTCATAGTTCGAAATGTTTATTCAAAATAAAATTGGATTATTCATCAACAATGTGTATAGTTTTTTATTCACGTATTTTACCAGTTCAATAAATTTTACAAGATGGACAGAATTGTTCATGTCATACTACTAATCAACAATATTCCGTTTTTTTTTGTTCTCTCCCTATATTCTTAATAATTATTAAATTTTTGTCATCAAAAAATATAATTTTCTGGATGAAATAAAATTCAAATCTCTTA